ACTGGGAGGATGAAGAAAGGTGAAGGAGAGATGAAATAGCGCTTATAACCTTAACTATCAAAATAAAACATCAACAAATAATGCCTAATACACTAAACTTAAGATAGCATTTTACACATATTATAGACTTTTTAGAAGTTATTTAGTAGGTATACTTTTTAAAACAATATTTCAATCAAAAAAAGGGAAAAGAGCAAACTAAAAAATATGTCACAAAGCCAAATCATTACGTAAAGGACCCTTTAAGTAGAAAAATCTGCACACACACACAGTTACTACTACTACAACACACACACACACACACACACACACACAATCCCAACATATAAGTTCAATTATCTACCCCACCTTTTTTGCCTATGAAATTGACAATCAATACTTTTGAAGCAAAAATGCAAGGACACAGGTACTCCCACAGGCTACTGATAGGAATGTAAATTTTTTATAGAGTAATTTGACACTACATTTCAGAGCACAATATTTGACTCAACCTTAAAAGTACTTTGTACCCCAAAATTCCACTTACAGGAATTTTTCCTAAAGAAATAACTAAAAATTTGCATAGAAATTCATATATCTCAAGGATATTCTCTGCAATACTAGTTAAAATATTAAAAGGCTGGAAATAACAGAATTTCCCCAAAACAAAAATAGTTAAATTGTGGAACATTAACATAATAGAGTACTAGGCAGCCATTGAAATCAATGTTTTAAAGGAGGGGAGGTAGGTAGCAAATCAATAAGATAGGAGGAAAAGACTCTAAGAGGAAAGGGCATGAATGCAACTATTCAGATACGCAAGCACAAATCATGCATGGGAAATGGGAAATAATTTATTTCCAAACACTATTTGAGAAGAAATAGTGGACATTAAGGAACTCCCTAGAATATGGGTGTACCATATGCAGAGCTAAACTTAATCACCTGAGCAGGATTGTGAAATTGGTAAGAACATAAGCTTTGGAGACAAAATACCTGCAATCCGATATTCAAACTCAGCTTTTTCATTTACTACCTGACAATTGTGAATCTGAACCTCAGGGCCCTATCTATAAAACTGAAATAATAATACCTTTTCAAACAACTATTATAAAAAAGAAATAAAAGGATGCGTGTAAAGCACTGTGTAGGTTTGTATCACGGTGAGTACTAATAAACAGTAGTTTTTTGTTATATTAAACCACTATGCAGAAAAGTAAATTTTAAAAGCAGTGTGGAAGTAGAAAGCTACTGTTGTTAACGATTTGCATGGTACTATTTCTAAGTAATTGTCTTAATTATATCCATCAATAAGCATGTAGTATGCAAGTTTACTCACCAGTGAAGTAGCACATTTCAGCCATACACGTAATTGAGAACATAATCATATACTGCCTCTTACTGTTTCACAGGAGAATTGATTGTGATAATCTAAACTAAAATTATTTAAAGAACAGAATTTATGTCTCTGCTTCGTGTGTATCATCAGCAGTCTTTACAGTTTATAAAATGCTTTTGTTCTGCTAACTTGAGCTGTGAGAGTGGCAGTGTAGCTGCTCGCTGTCCCGCTTTATTGGTCAATCACTTGCCCAAATCTACAGAAGCAAGGCAAGTAGACCTCATCTTTTAGTTTAGACCTACTGCTGCCATTTATTTTCTATAAAGGTTACCGATAAAACACTTTCACTTCTCATTTCATAGTTCCAGTTTGTAAGAGGCTCTACAGTCACTATGTATAAACTATTTAAATAAAACTATTCGAAAGAAAAATGATGGTGGAGAAATAATTATGTAACTGAAAAGACCTATCCTTTTATTTTAGAAGCTATTTAGAAAATGATCTCATAGTACATTTATATGAAACATTTTCAGTGAAACATTACATAATTTTGTTCTGTTAAGTAGGTATTATATAAATGAGATTCATAAGGTTTAAATAGAATGAACAGCAATTTAGAAAACACAGCAAGGAAGACAATGCTTTTATATCATATTAACATTAATAGTATGTCAACAAAGTAAAAAAGATCAGCTAAGGCTGTGAAGTTATTTCCAGTTCTGACACTTCAGGATGGCTGGTTTGATCACCACTACTGCTGATGTAATTTTTTAAGTGTAAATGTCATTTACTCAAAACGTATTATTTGCCAACATTCAGTACTAACTTTGTAGAAATACAGTAAAGTGAAGTACTACTACACCTATCATCATGAGACTAATTAAACAAATGAACAAAAACACTTTCATCTCCAAAGAAAATAAAACAAGAACAGGATTTAAGTGAAAAATATTTTGTTTTGTTTTGTTTTTTTGAGCAGGGTGATTAAGTGTAGAACAACATTTTAACGAAAGTTATAGTAGAATCTATTCCTAAGGGTATCTTCGAAAATTTCTTTAGGAACATGGACCAGATGCAAGGTTGCTTCAGATCCTTTAATTTCCTAACTTTCATTACTCCAAAAAGAAAGGAAACATTTATTGAGTGTCTACTAGGTACAAGATACTTTAGTAGGATTAAATTTAACACATTTAAGATGTATTTCCTACTATTAAGATAATTTTCAATGTTAGACTTGCCACTAGGGGGAGTTGATCTTGTTTAATATAATTCAACAGAAGACTGGAAGAACTTCAGGGTAAAATTATGTCACCTACTTGATTCCAAAATTTTATGGAATTATATATTTAAATGGCCATCTTATTAACAGTTCTATAATTATACTACAATATATCTTCTCTTTAAGTAAAATAAAATGGCTATCACTTAAGGGGTCAAAGTTAACCACATCTGAATAGCATTTTCAGCTCAAACAAGATGTATTTTTCTGACAACGTTGGCATATTTTAGACCCCATTAGCTCCAAGGTAGTAATTTAAAAAATTCATATTAAACTTAATATTGAGTTTAATGGTCACATTCCTAAAATAAACTTTGATTAACTGCATTATAAAGTTAACCATTTTTCATCCAGGTAAAAACAACTGATAAACAATTTCAAGTGATTCTGCAAATAGCAGCAATAGGCGTTCCTTATGGAGCAGGGCAGTGATATTTTAAGGCATTTACATGATTAGAAGCAATGCATGGCGCTCAGTAAAGATCTGATAAACATCTATACTAACTGAATAAAATAAAATGAGGGTAAACATGGAAAATGCTTTAGTTGTAGCACAAGAGATTATTAAATACAAACTATTAAAGTCTTAGAAAGTATATTAAAATGTTAAGATAAAATAATAAAAGGTACATCTTATATAAATAAAAGAAAATGTAATATGTTTAAAGGGAAGATCTTTAATGAAATGTTAACTAGGAGCCAAAAATGTTAAACTTTATAATGAATACAAAATTAAAGTATTTGATTTTTCTTTAAAAAGTCATCTAGGTCCTTTTGTAACACACTGACTAAAACTCAGTAACTTAAAAATCCATCAAAGAGATATTCAAGTTTTATGACCATACACATAAAAACCCATGATACCTCTTTATATTTATGCTACTGTATTAGTAATTACACAGGACATGCATTTGGAACGCCTCTCAATTTTAAATAACCATCAAGGTTAAAGTCAGATTAGACAAACACATTCTTATATAAGAAACCACTCTACAAAATGCAAGTATTGTCAACCAGTGTCACAGAATTAGACAAATACATTTTTATGTAACAAACCACTCTACGAAATACAAGTACGGTAAACCAATGTCACAGAACAGGCAAGACAGAAAATTGCTGACTCGGCAGTATTCCTAATGTTAGCCACACTGCAGGATAAGACTTCCAAATTTTAATCAGTCTATTTATAGACGAATATCCTCTGTTAATGCCAAGTCTAGATCTGAAGAACTATGATCATTGAAATTTTAAATGGAAATTAAAACTCCAGAATAATGAAACTTTTAAACCAAGTTACTGGTTTTAAATATAAATCTTAAACTCTTATTTTTCCGGTTTGGATTAGTGACCTAAGTTAAGTTTTAACCAAAATGCACACTTCTGATTTGCTCTGAGTAAAGCTTTAAGGTGTTCTTAAAATTGTTTATGAAAATTTGAAAAATGTGAAATAAAGTGTCTCAGAGATAATTAGGAATAAACACATGAATAAAGCCAATTAAAAGTAAATCTGTCTCAAGCATAGATTTTTTTTTCTGAAAAAAAATTATTTTAAAGTATTTGCCATCTCACATAAATAGCCCACCAAAACAAACAGAAAATCTAAGTTTGTAACCATTCTATTAGACTCGACAAAACTTTGCAGTGGGGGAAAAGGAGAAATTAGAGAAAGATGTTAAGAATGAAAACGTCTGTTTCAGTAATTCCAGTTCCAAATCTTTTTCTTTACGACCCTAAAACCATCCCCAAAGTGATAAGAAAGCTCCTCCAAAAGGTGGCTGAAAACACAAATCCCCCACTGTATCCTGTCCACTACACTCACTCATACCTGCTACCACCTCTATACATTTTACCGATATGGTCACGTTGAGCGCTACAAAATTACTGTCAAATAAGAGCCCAACAGAAGCCAGGTGCACCGGACCAAAAAATACCCTCAGAGGCACTCAGCCCCTTTCTTGCAGACAGCACGTGTTTAGATCTTTAAAACATCTCGCCCTACCAGGAATGAGAATTATGACCGTCCTCTAACCTAACCGATGAGGATATTAAAAGGGGAAAGGGATTTCAAGGCGGACTTAGGTTAACTAATCCACCAGCCCCACAGAGCAGACCAGAGCTGTCAACAAATTAGGACCACGGAAGAGAGAACAGAGCTGCAAAGGGGTGGAGGTGCGAGAGGGTGCGCTGGGGACACGGGGCACAATTTTTAAAATGCAATAATTAAAAAAGGAAAATCCAAGGCCTGAGTCTTTCGACCGGCCTCCAAATCTCGATTCCACGGACTGTGTCAGGAATGGACCTAATCCCGGGACCGCGGGGATTTGGGGGCGGGGTGCGGCCACCTCCCGCACCCGCGTGCCACAGCGCACACCCCCGCGCCGAGGACGCGCTCCGGACACTCACGTTTTCTGCACTGGCTTCCGCCGCTTGCGACTGGCGTAGGTGATGTTGGCGCTGCTGCTGTTCATGGTGCCGGGCCGGCGGCGGCTCCTCCCCGGATCGGACGGCCCACTCCCCGGGAGCCGGCGGCGACCTGGACGACGGCGGCAGCGGGCGCCGGGTTCCACGAAGCCGCTCCCGCCGCTCTACCTGCGTCCTCCCCGGACGGTAGCGAGGACGCCGCGTCCTCGCTCCTCGGCACCTGCAGCCTCGCGCGTCCAGGTGCGCCGCCCGGGCCTGGCGCCGGGGGGCGGGGGCGGAGACCGGCGCGCGAGGTGGCGCAGGTGTCCTCTACACCGGCGGAGGCGGCGCGGCGCTGGCCGCAGGTGAGGCGGCCCGGGCGGAGGAGGAGGCTGGGCTGCCTGTTTGGAATCCCGGCCTGGGTCGCGCGCGGTGGCGCCGCGCCCCGTGACCGTCGCCGCGGCCCCTCGGGTAAGGGAGGCGCCGCCGCGCTGCTCCTGGGGCTTCCCAGATCCTGGGTGCTTCCCGCCCGCGGAGCTCGGACTCCGGCCGCCACTCCGGTGCCACCAGCTTCCGCTCTGCTACGCAGCTGCCCTAGGTCTGAGCCGCTGGTCCTGGGCACGCTCCCGGGACGGAACGTCGAGTGCACCCGCCAGGCGCTGCCTCCCGCCGCCGCGCGCACCGGCTGAATAGCAGAAGCGCCCCCAACCCGTCTCCGGCCCCGCCCAGCCCCTCGTGGCCCCGCCCCGTCCTACTTGGCCCCGCCCTTCCATTCCATCTTCCTTGAGGGCCCCACCTTCCCTGTACGTGATGACGTAAGGCGTAACGACGCCCCCCAGTAGCCATCTTCTTGAGGTCGAGGGGTGGAATTCTGTGGCCAGATTTGCAGCCCAGAAAGAGGTGTGACAACAAATTGCGTATTGTAGCCGAACTCTTTGTAGCTAGACTATCTCAAGGATAGACATGCCAAATAGTGAGCTTAACTTCACCTATATGAGAGACAGTGACTCAGCTAACCTTTGGCTAAGGATTGCAGTGAGCTGGTGGATAACCAGTGGAACTCTAAATTTTCCTAGAGGGGAAGGCTTCAGGAGGCCACATCTGAGTTAAAACATGAAGGCTAGGAGTTTCCTTGGCTTTTTGTGTGTGTTTGTGTGTGTGTCTCCATCCTAAACAATATAACATCTTTTCCTTAGCCAGAATAACTTTGTTATTCTGTAGTCAGATTTCAATAAAGTTGAAAGGAAGGAAACGAGGAAGAAGGGAAGCACAAGGCATTTGGGGATAATAAGCAGTCAGCTATGGTTGGACAGAGGAGCTGGAGGCGAAGTTCCGAAATTCTAGGCTCAAACCATAAAGCCTTGATAAAGAGTCTGGATTTTATTCTGTAGGCATTGGAAGGCTTTTAAAGATATTTAGCAGAAAAGTGACATTCTGGTGTCTTGGAAAAGTCCCTCTGGGAGGAAAGTGCAAACTGGAATACGGGAGATGGATGCAGAGACCGTACTTAGGTCATTGTACTATTTCATTACGGTTGAAATAGTCCGGGTGTAAGTCCGGGGAAGTGGCAGTGGGGATGGAGAGAAGAAAGAAAATTCAGATGATGATAGAAAAGGATAAGAAAATAGGGGAAGAGAAAGAGCAGTCTCAAACGGCTCTAGGATTTCTGACTCTTTCTGTGCTGTTAACCAGGATAGTGAACACAGAGGAGTCTGCTTGTCAGGAGCAGAAGGGCATCCAGATTAAGATACCTAGATGACATCTCACACCATATCCATTCCTACTTTTTAAAATGTCTTCAAGCTGTTTCCACCTGGTAAATTTGTTACCTCAACTTCAGTGCATCAATACATTAAGCTCATCATATGCTTTAGCTGAAACTTTGTCATTGGCTCTGCCGTTCTCCAGATCAACCTATGAATCATGTTCAACTCGCCTACCACTTATATGTAAATATTCCGGCAAATACTATTAAATTTTGTTCTGTACAATATCCCTAATTCATTTCCCTCCACTTTATTCTTCAATAATAGCAGACAGTGCCTAGCTCAAATGCCATACCATGTAGGATTCCTAAGCTAATATTATCTCCTCCACACATTAATTCAATCAAGAAAGATTTGGGGGTGACTCCTATGTGCCAGGAATTATGCTAGTACTGGGGAGACAATGGTGAACAAAAACAGAAATGTCCTATGCTCTCAGGAAATACTGTAATGGAGAAGTACACGACTCAGTATGATCTTCTAGTGGATAAATTGACCTACTCATTGAGGCAAACATGGGCTTTCCCCCCAAAATGTTGATTGAGCTGAGGTCTGAAGGATAAAGTAGGGTTAGCTGGGAGAAAGCAGGGGAAGACCATTCCAACCCAATGAAACAGTACAAGCAACGTCCCTTTAGTGGGAAGGAGCCTGGTAGGTATGAGGGACTAAAACAAGTTCAGTATGAGCAGGGGAGAAGGGCACAAATGATCAAATTTGTGTTTCAAAAATATCACCATATCTGCAGGGTATAGAACAGATCAAAGAGGCAGGAACAGAGTGGAATGGATGGAAGTAATACTCCTAAGGAAATCATCTGCAGTAACCCAGCCAAGAGATGACATTATTGACACTAGGATGGATGTGATGGTGGAGATGGAGAAAATTAATAGATTCCATAGATATTGGGAGAGTCTTGGGAGATAGAGTGGATATATGACAGTGAGGGAAGAGGATGTGTCAAAAACATAATAATAGTGTTCTCAACTATGTATCTGGCTATGTGATAATGGCATGTACTGGTGGGAAATTATTAATTTAGCTTTGGATCTCTTAGGGTTGAAGTACCTTTGAGATAGCTAAGAGAAGATGTCAGGTAGGCCATAGGATATACATGTTTGTAACTCAAAGAAGATGTATAAACTGGAGATATAAATTCAGAAATCATTTGCATTTAGGTGACACGAGAGAGTGGAGGTTGTAGGGTGCAAATATATACCAGAGAAAGACTGGGGCCCAGAGAATTTCAATATGTAGTATCCAATAGCTGAATAGAAGATGATGGTCCTGTAAAACTGAATGAAAAAGAGTTGCTCGAATGGTAACAGGAAAGTGAGGGCACTATTGTGTCGTAGAGGACAAAGTGGAAAAATGTTGGGAGTGGTTCACATTATTGAATGTTGTTGAGAGTTTCAAATATGATGAGAATTGAAAATGTCTTTTGGCTTCTCAACACGAGGTCATTGGTGACTTTAGTGAACACTATGTTAGTGGGCTAGTGGATTGCAAGTCAGATTGAATTGGAGATGAAGAAATGACATCAGCAAGCGCAGACAATTCTTTTTTTTTTAAAGTTTGGCTGTGAAAGGGAGAGACCTAGAATGGTAGCTAGGGGGAGTAAAGTGTTAAATTAGGGTTTGTTGTTTTTAATGGATGATACTTAAGCAGTTGAGAAAGAGAGGAGAGGGATTGAGATTGGCTGTGTAAGAAAGACAAAGAATAGTAAGGGAACAATAGATATTAAAAATAGTAAAGGCAAGAGAGAATGAGGGCCAAAAAAGAAAGGGGGAATTAGGATTATAGCAGATTAGATAATACCAGACAGAGCTCATGTAGGTGCTTTACTGTTCACAGTGTCCTTAGCTTCTCATGAGAGTTATAGGAAATGCAGAACCTCTGGGTGTCCTTACTGAGTCAGAATCTGAATTTAACAAGATCTCCCAGTTGATTCAAATGTACGTGAAGTTTGAGGAGCACTACTCTACAGAAGCTAGAGGAAAAGAGGATGGTGGGTAAGATGTAGTGGGCTGGTAATTTTGAATCAGAAAGATGAAGGAGATGTGATGAAGAGAGTATTCTAGCATGACCTACAAAGGAGCAGGTGTGTTTTGTGGTTGATGGGTTTTGTTTTATTTTAATTTTACAAGACTATAAAGTGAAAGTGATGCAGGAAGTGGCAACAGAGAACTAGGTGATGAGGAAAAATAATTAGGAACCATTTTGGAGATGACACCCTCAGGGAGAGCCAGCTTTCAGTTTAAGGCAAAAGATGGAGCAAAGAAGACAGTGCATACAGGAGAGTTTGCTGTGGATGGATTAGCAGTTCTGGGGGCACAGAGTCAACCATCTCTATCTTATCTTCTCTTTTATTTCCTCATCTCTGTATTCTTATTCATAGCTGTTCTATCTAAAATGTATAAAGTGTAAACAAGTAATTTCCTTCTAGCATAGGAACTTTAAGGGTGAAAAATGCATATCAAAACATAATTTATTGATTCTGTAGTTTAAAGCTCCTTTTCAGAAAAAGGATATACTAAATGTACTAAATCCCAATAATCAATCTTAATTTAGTGTTTTTTTAAAAATGTCCACCTTTTTAAGGTTGTTAGTTCTTTGGTACAATCATTCTCTGTCTTATTTTGTCCTACTTCCATACCTTTATTTTCTTTTTGACTTTAGGACCATTTTCATTATCCAGAAATCATATCATGCTATACTGTATTACAATCAGTTTAGTAACTGATCTTTGTATACCAAGATTGAAATAAGAGTATCAACAAGACTTTCAGAATTCATTTCATTTTAATAGTGACACCATCCACTGCCCTTAAAATTTTTGCTTAGTATGTCAATAAAATCAGTCTTTGTAGTATAATACAATTAAAAAAAAAAAAAAAAGAATGAGTTGCCACTTTTAGAAACTATCACTTTCTACTTCTAACATCACTACTGTAGGACATGGTTCTCAAAGTATGTTTTGTTGCCATTGCTAAAATTTTTAAATTTTCCATGAGCCATTTTTATATAATAACGTGATTTTTCTTATAACAATTGGTTTGCATATAAGAGTTTATTAATATTTGACTGCCTAATCCAAAGCACCATTATCCTTTTATTTAGTTTAGGTGAGATGACTTTCTGAGGTTGCAGATGCAACTATATTTCTATGGGTTTCTTTTTCCTGCTAAATATTATGAGAAAAAGAAATAAGTTTTAGGAATGTTATTATACATAGCAGCTGTCTTAGAATAAAGGAAAATAACTAAAATAAATGCTAACCCTATTGTGTCCCAGTACATGCCTTCATTCATTTCATTCAAGATTTTAGTTCCTATAATATGCCAGGCACTGTGAGACACAATGGTGATATCAGACATATCCCTAGCCTCTTAGAACTTACATTCTAATGAGAGATACAAGAATTAATCAAGTGGTTATACAAATAAATGTATAATTGCAGCTGTGGTAAGTGCTATGAAATGAGTAGTCTGAGAATGCGTAATAGGTGAGTTTGACTTAGGGGAGGTTGTGCTGAAGAAGTGAAGAAGCTTGAGCTGAATTCTGAGGCATGGGTAGGCATTTTGTAGGTAAAGTAGGGAAGGAAGTGCATACCATGCAGATAGAACATTTATCACAATTTTTACCTCCTCTTCAATTCTGCAGTTCTTTACCCCAGGCCTTCAGAATGATCTATTTCACTCAAACTCTGCTTCTACGACTTAGATCCCTCATTATAGTTACACCAAATATTTTAGAGAGCATAGACTGTGCTTCACAAACTGTGTGCTGAGGCACCTCAAGGGCACCACAAAAAAACTCAAAGGGGCACCATCATGGGATATTTAAATTTTCAAGGCCAACACAGTGACATCAGTTGGACACTATGCAAACCACTAGCTCCAGGTAGTTCAGAGCTTCAATATTGAATTGTACTCATTCCTTTTGATG